GCAAGAAAACGTTTCCATATTTAAAGCAAGTGGAAGCGAGACCAGCTCTTTCACTATTTCTTCAATAAATCTTCCTAGTCCACTATATCTGCTTTGTCTGTGTCAAATATGGCCATGCTCAGCTGAGTACAGCCATAAATAATAGCTTTGGTTTATTAAGATTTACTAGACTTATACAAACATTTTGAATAATTGGAATTTGAACTGACAGTGTCAGTCCATGCAAGCAGGCCACCGGAACAATAAAAGGAACATCTGTGAAAATATATAGCAGAGAGCATGCTGCTCTGGCCAACTGTTAACCACTCTTGGATGAAATAGTAAGCTGTAAAACATGTTTAAAGGGAAACTCCACCTTGAAACAGTGTAGGCTCCCCCCCTGCCCAGTCTGATTCAGTGCATTCACTTACAGAAGCTTCTGTACCAGCCAGGTAGAGCTAATTTTTAGCTCCTCAGCTCTGCTTTGGCTGGTAGAAGTCTCCAGGAACAGGTCTGGTTCCCCAAACAAAAAATAATTTAAAAAAAAAATCATCAAATCAGAGCGAGCGTTTTTGTATGTCCAAACTTGTATGCATGCTGTAACATCTTCCAGAGTTAGCACGGAGCGCAGATTAAACAGCATGTAAGAGTTGTTCCTGCTCTGGAAATAAAAGGAAGGGAGGAAGTTTAATTGCCAAGGCTGTACATAAATGACATCATTTAATGGCCGTAGAGCCCGATTAAAAAATTGTTCCATGTGCAAGTTATAGTAATAGCTACAGAGTTTCATCAACATGATTGGCTGTTAGTCAGGGACAGCGGACTGTCTGAATAGGGCTAAAAGGTTTGGTAATAGGAATATCTAAAGCATACTGGAATAGCTGAGACCTAAACACAAATAGCCTTTGGACCAAGGGCATCATCAGCCTAATGTATTTAAAAAAAAAAAAAAAAAAAAAAAAGGGGGCAGTCTTTTCCTTCTAGCAGTGCTATTTGTAAAATACTTAGAAGCCTGAGGCATTTTTTAAAACTGATAGAAGGTTAAAAATAACTGCATTTCAACACAGACAAGCCAAGTCTAAAAATGTTACTTCTAAGAGTAACAGCTTGAGATATTTTGTTCAGCGTTTACCCCCCGAAACACAAGTGGTTCAAGATGGGCACACAATCCCTTATCACTCTTAAAAGCCCTGGCCTAGAATCCACGCATAAACATGAGAATGACCCAAATGTCAGATATAGCTCCGCTCTCAGGAGCTGTTCCGTACCTCCACCCAGGCTGCGGAGGTATGCTCACATCCTACATCAGCCTTCACCAGTGGCCGATGCCACCTTCTCTTACCACAAGGAGGCAAAGCAGGAGTCCACGCAAGCACCAGACTGCGTAGTGCTTCCTTCCATCCGAAACAGGTCAAAAGCTGCCTCTAGCCAAGTGCCTAAAAGCTGCCTCTAGCCAAGTGCCTCCAAGACACTCAAAACCACGTACCACAGAAATTACACCCAGCTGGAAACTGCAAACTCCTAAAGACTGAGGATACCTTCCTAATGAAGGCAGTGAGCCAAGGGTCTGGTACTGCTACCACTGAAGTTGCTGCAGTGACACACCCTCACAGCCAGAAGTACTCTTTATAGAAACAATAACACCTTAAGCACAAACATCCTAACTGTTAAGGAGTCAGAGGAAATAAAGCAACAGTTTTCAGAAAACTCTGATGGCCTATCCCAACATCTAGTTTCTGTATTTTTTTTGGATACTATTTCTTAAATCAAGTACCTGCATTATGAAGGCAGTAAACAACCCATTTAAGCCGTAGAAGCATTGAGAACTACTAGCTATGACAAATACCAAACATTTCTGCTCTTCAAAGCTTCTCAGTACTTATAGATACATGTATCAAATTACAGATATTGCTAGCTAGATCAGGTCTCAACTTCTATCTGCAGAGGAAAATAGCTCTCATAAATTACTAATGTCTCTTAAAGTAATATAATGGAAACTTCTTTCAAGACTTGAGAAGCATAGCTTCTAAAACGTGCATCTCTGCCAAATTCTCTGGAAACAATTTTGCACAGTGTTATTATCACATCTTTTCTTTTTTTCAGAAATTAAATAGAAAAAGTCGATTCACATCTTTCTGTAGGTGCTCACTGTACATCTAACATAATGACAGAACAGTTATATGACTGATACCATGTCATTTTTCAGCATGAAACTTAACGCCAGCACAGATATCCTCAAGTGGCTAACCTTTCTGATCCCCAGAATCAAGCTTTCTGTAGGGCTACGGGCAGCAACCTGTATCAGATACAAGGGGAGGAAACTCTGGGAGCAGCTCACAGCTGGGACAGGCCAAGGGCCAATCCCATTTCTACGTTAGGAGTTGCTGTTGCATTCGGTTTGCAGCCGAGTCCCAGGCTGAAAATGCTGCTAGCTGCAGCCGTTCCAGCCAGCTCCCCCTACAGATGTACATTCACATTATCCAACAGCTCTACACTAGCCACACTGTAGAGATCGAAAAGCCATGGGGTAACCCTTCAAAATACACTTTTAGCACTATTTTTTCCTTCTGCATGCACTACATCCTGCCCAGCATTACATGAATAAAGACAATGCTGTAATTAATGGTTAACGTGGGTAAACTGCCGATCCATTTTTTATTTTGGCAATAGCATGCACTCGTGTATGCTAAAATAAGGTTACTCACTCTATTTTTGTTAGTAGTATACCTCTGCCTAAAGAGCTTACAATTTAAATATAAAAACAGAAAAAAGAAAGATGCCATGAACCAAGGACTGCAAAGCGACAATGAAGTAACACTACCCTGAACAATCAACAGTACAAACAAACAAGCTGGTTAATAACTTGCGAGGTTTCAAATAGGCACCACACTAAAAACTTAAGGATGAACGTGAATGAGACGGTTAGTGAGATGGCTTTCCTGACCAGCCAAATGAATGAGTAATCAGTGAGCAAAGAGATGGCACATTGTGTTAGTCAGACTTAGCAGTAAATTTCATTCTCTTATACCATCATCAAAGGGCTTCATTTTTCCTGATTAATCAAATTGTTTCTTTATCAAATTTTAGCTGTTTTAAAATACACTCTCTGAGCTGATTTATGATGTGTATTTTGGGAGCAGCTGCAGAAGTTTCCAAGCTCTCTTTCCACCTCACGGCTCTTAGGGGGGATGCTGTGCAGTTTCATGTGCACTCAAGAAATCCACCTCAAGAAACACTGTTTTTTTGTATACAGCCCAGCATCTACCCCTAGATGATCGTCAAAAGCTGCATTCTCACCATCCTGACACCATTAATGCCTAGAGTCTATAGCCACTAAATAGCGTATTAGTCACCGTATGAGATTCAGTCAGACAAGGGAACTCTTCTCCCATCATACACTGTGAATATAATAATTATCTTTGTCCACAGGAAAGCACGACATTTTTCATTAAGACTTTAAATACTAGCTCTAGGCCCCAAATACTGCCTACCGCAGAATGCTCTTATGCATTCAGACACACGTGTGTGCTTATAGACTGTGGGTGCCTACCTGGGCAGACATTCTCTTCTGAGTTTGCAGTGCTGACCACTAATTAAACCTTCCTCTGCTCCAATTAAATTTTTCAGACATGCACTTCCTTCATCCCAGATATGCAAAAAACATTTTCTGAGCTTAATGAATCCATAACTCGGCTAAAGGGATTATTCAAAAATAATCAAAATCAATGTGGATTCTATCTAATGAATGGCAAAGCTCATCTCACACATGTAAATGGAACAAAATAAATAGTAATGTAGGCAGTAAAGAGAAAAAACCTTCAGAATTTTGACTAAGTCTTCGAAACAGAAAGCTTTTCAGAAATGCATTTGTAAACAAAACTCATTGTGCTTATACTGATTTACACTTGGTAACACTACTTCTCTGGACTACAGTTTTACTATAATTTCACCATACCCAAAAGGCAAGGTTTCTGCTGATAACCACAAGTAGACTTAAGATTTTTTTTTAAAAAAAAAAAAACCACAAATTCACTGAGTATTAAGAAAAGCAAATTGACTTTGCATTTTTGTGAAGAGTTTTGTTTAGCATTAATATTAAAGCCTTTGCAAACTGGTTTTCTAAAAACTCTCATCTAGAGTACAGTAGTTTTGTTCCACCAGCTGCTACTAACATGGAAATGTTTGACTAGTATTCCAATGACCATTTTTAAGCCTAGCAGTGCTTCTCCTAAAAACGATATATGCTGTTTTGGGGTTATTACATGTGTAATGCTGGTTGGAATGAAAGACCAAAGGATTATAATGTTGTTGCTGGGAGAAAAAAAGGCCTAATTTTTAACGGTAATCAGCCACTCTGCTTTCAGAACATAGGAAGAAGTTATCAAACCAACGTTTACAAGAACAAAACCAAACTTATTTAAAACTAGCCGCTTCAAGAATAGTTGAAACCTCTGTGGAACAGACATGAAACCTGATTACCTGTGTTACACAGGTAAATTCCAAAAAATAACTCCATTTTAATCTGCAAGCATTTTTTCTTCTGTTGATGATTAATTTGTTCCCTACCCCAAAGGTGAACTGAAGGGAGACCTCTTTAATTATTAGAAAAATATTCAAAACCATATTACAATATCAGTTTGTGAATATAGGACAAATTTAGATGACAACATTTTACAACTTTGTAAAACACAATCTCCCTGAAAAGTAAAGGTTGTAAGAATACATTAGCATCAAGTCTGGTGATCCGCATGCCCTTTGCGACTGTGCCGCTGGTTTATAGGGGGCTTTTAGCAATACATTTGCATCTGTTCCCCCATTTGTAAGGGGGCGGCCACTAGTACTTCTCTTCCTCATACAACTGAGGATGCATAATCAAGTTAACCTCTGGTGCAGATGCCGAGAAATCCAGTGAAGATAGTTACACCGTAAGATTAACTTCTCTGTTTGTAAAGTGCATGGTATAATTAGCTCAAAAACAAAAGGAAAAACAGACTAGAAATGAGCCATTTGAAAGAGATACAGAGTGAGAGAAGAATGTCTTGCACTGAGGTTATGTATTTAACAGCTTTACACGAAATTTTATATATAAAAACTTTTAAGTGCTTTTCTCCAATTTAAAAATCTAAAGAATTCAAAAAATAAGGCATTCAGTATTTGAAAAAGTACAGATTTACAAAATGTGTATATTCTGTCATGAAAACTCCACACCAACATTATACACTTGGAAAAAAAATACAAACAGGATATATTACAAATTTATGTAGCAATAACTTAGTTCATACCATGCAATAAAAAGTACGTTAATCAAGATACACAAGCTTTTAAGTTCTCTAAACTGAAGGGCTTAATTTTGTTTGCAAATGAGTTTTTATGCAAATTCTTAGAACTGTGGCACTTGAAATTTCTGGTAGCCTTTCTATTGAGAGTTAAATTGTACATAATGATTATGAGGATGAAGAGGAACAAAGCAGCTGTTACGAATCATTCCAACTTTGTTCAACAATAGCTGAAACTCTTTTCTCATATTCACGTTTGTTCTCCTGATAAAGTTGTGCTGCCTGACTGTTTGCTGGACTGTTTGGATTAGGTTCATCAAGTAGAGACTGTAAAGAGTGGAAAACAAAAAGTGAGATAATATTTTAAAAAGTCAACATATAGTTTTCAAATTGAGTGTATTTCAGGAAGCAGACATGACTCCAAAGAGCCCACCTGAAAAAACACCTTAAACTCTTGGTTAGACACCCATACTAAACTACTGAACCTCAAATACACACTGCTTAAGCTTTAGCACTGAGGACATTTCTAGGTTCCTTAGAACCTTCACAAGCCGAACAGATGCATGGTGAGTGGCAGTTAGCAGTATGATGTTGACTGACTGACTGGTAGTTACACTAATATTGTCATTCACAAGTACGGAGAGGCTTGATATGCTTCCTATAAAGCTTCATTATAGAAGAATAAAACCCACGGCGTAAGAGAAAATAAATGTCCATTTTTGCTATCCTAGGCCATTTTTACTTATTTCAAGTAAAAGAGATTTCAGCAATACCGTCTCCTTGATGATTTCATTGGCCAAGCCTCCAGGAAAAAGTTACAAAACATTACAGTAGGCAAATTTTTACATCTGCTGCCATATATTGACTAAAAACAGTTAAAAAGGAACCCAAATCAAAAACTGTTTGTCCTACACAAATTCTCTAATGGCAATTTTGTATCTTAAAAATAGCGATTACATAGTTCAATACCAAAGGCCTTAAATGAACTAAAAAAGCTACTGCTTAGTTCACAATTCTTTGAAGTTCCCTGGTATAGAACCTGCTTGCCACATCACTGAGCTGTGTGTGATCCGAGATAGAGAGTAATCACAACATATTCCATTTGCTAAAACAAATTTAAAGTTACCTGAATTGAAGTTAAAATGGATGAGACATCATATGTTGGGCTCCAGCGATTCTGAAGGATATCTAAACATATGCTACCATCCGCATAAACTGTGAATACAGCATAGGTATCATTTAAAAACTGTCAGATTTATTTTACATTTTGTTCATTAAATTCTGCTCAAGGAAGAGTTACTATTCCAGTTCAGTCTGTATTTAAAGTAATGCTTTATGAAAAAGGATAGCAGTCACTGAAAACGTCTAGTTATGTCAGACAATCTTATGTAGTTTGACACCTCGCATTTTGAAAGGGATACGTTACTAGAAGTAATAAAACACTTTAGAGGAAAAGAAGGACGGTCCACAGATGATTGCACCAGCACAGAAACTGGCTGGCCTAGACTCAGTTTCTTACTCCTGTGCAACTGGCTCAGATTCACAAACAGATTTAATGCCTCCCAGGGAGCAGCAAGATATTTACTGCAGGAACGGAATGCACAGCACCAGCTAAGGAGCTCACATTCACTACATGCTGAATGGGGAGAGTTCTGTATCCTGTTTTCACAACAAGATGAATAGAAGAGTCATTATGGCAGACAGTGGAAAATGCTGAGAAGTGCACCTGAAATCCTACTACTTTCCAGATTCCTCAGTCTTCACATAAAAGCCTACACAAAACTGGGATTCACGACTCAAACTCCAACACCCTCGTCTTCTAACTTGTTCGTGCCAATAACAATAACACTCCTCCCCAGCGCCCCACACACGCAGTCAGAGGCATATTGGCCTGTATATTATACGACAGATGAATGGCTTGACAGCACGTCTAAAAAGTCACAGAATTGAAGTCAAGGTCAGTCTCTGTTTAAGGAGGGCTGAAACCTGCACCTTGTAAGAAAATCCCTGGGCAACAAGCTACAGGAAATGCTGGAATGGGTTTATGCTTCAACCCTCAAATTGAATCTATACTCCTTTGCAACAGAGGGTTTGGAAAAACAAAAGGCACGGTTTATGTTCTGTATGCAAGAATCAGCACTTCAGAGGTTTATCCAGTGGAGTAGGAATCAAGGCTTTCTCCCTCACAGGGCTGCCTTCTGCACCTAGTTAGAGTCAACATCTCTGTGCCTCCCCCCAGCTATGACCACACATTCTCACCCTCTTGTGTGTGCTAGCACTTGCTGGTTCAGTGAACCAAATGAAGGTATTGATTTGGCTGAAGACTTACCTGACAAAAATAAATAACGCTTAGCTTGATCAGTTTCCTACTGCAGTTCATGATGTGCCTGCACATATACAAGTGTTGCGACATGGAAGAGGGCAGTAATCTGCAAGCAGAATTGCCCTTTTAAGCCAAGTGCAGCTGCTGCTGGGATCGCTTATGGAACCAAAGGCTTTGCTACAGAGGCTAAATATATCGACCAGAAAAAGATGAATAGCTGCTTCTTAATAGCATAATATTTCTTAATTTTTGATCTAGCAACTAATGTCTTGGACATCTACTTAGGAGCTGGCAAGGGAGAGAGGGGGAGAGCTGTTAATACATCCTGCAGCTTCACAGGATATTTGACTGCATCACAGTATTCAGTAGGCATTATGGCTAAATAAACAAAAAATGAGATACTCACCATTTGGATGGAACATTTTTGATAAAAACCTAACAGTTGGAGGTTTATTTGGATATTCTTCTGAAAATTCTATTACTAGTTTAAAAGTACCTGTCCAAACAAACATAAATACAATCACATAACTAACAGTGATAAAAATGCCTCCAGGAACATACAGCATAAGTTAATTCATGCGCTCCATAATCAATATTTCTTCCCACCAATATATAAACAACACTGAGTCTGGGTTTTTTCATGTATTTCAAGGGATAACGCAAGTACTGCTTTCTGCTAGCAATAAAAGCAGCAGCAGCATCTAGGTAAAAAGTTTGGAGACTCAGTGAATACACAGAAAAGCAGCCAGATCCGACATCAGTTATGCCACTGTCTCCCCCGCCCCCCCCCTTTTTTTTTTTTAAAGGGGCCCAATATGTTAGTTCCATAGACTTCAGTGACTTTAAAGCATTTCATTAAGAAGACACTGTGGTGTCAGTAACTAAAAACTGAACTTTCATAATCAACAACCTCTGTCTCTGCAGCTCATGACTGATTCACTGAAAACCTTTATTATGGATCAGTGAATAATTTACTGCAACTCCTCCATCCCAAAACAGAGACAAATGCATCTGCTGCAGACTACTGTAATACTACTATAATTAAAGTGATTATTCCTCATATGCCTAAGGAAGGATCATTATGATATATTAACTTTCATGTTTATCCCACCAATTTGGTATTCCTCCTCTTCTCACTGAATTCTATATTCAGAACAATTCACGATTTTTCACCTGCTCTTAGTTAGAAAAACACGCTCCAAAGATGAAACCAGAAAAAGCACGCTATTTTGTTACAATTAATTGTAGGAGATGCAAAAACATGTAGCATTAGACTAAGTTCCTCTGCTAAGAGCTCTAGTGTTCCATGTATAAACAAATCCAAATATAATCCTTGCTTCATAGCTTTATAACTAACCATCAAACACCTTGACAAGAGAATGCTTAGGTCAAAATACTGCACTGTCATAGTCAACAAGACCATACTCCTGCAATAAATTTGCTTGTTTTGCTTGTTTTGCTTGTTCCAACCTCCTCCCCGACCCCCAAAGCAGAACAGCGTTAATACTGGTAACGTTTACAGAAGCGACAGAAAAAAAGTTAGCTACTTACCATCTTCAAAAGGGGTCCCTTCTGGCCTGAAAGGTTTCAAAAAACTCCAGTTACAGAATGATCTATACCTACTTCTAAGCAGGTACAGTAAACATATAAATCCTCCCCCCTCACCCCAGAAGAAATAGAGGCAAAGATGTAAGAATTTAGAAAAGTATCCAGATGTAACCTCTGGGAACTTTGTCATATTTAATACACTTTCCCATAGCTAAGCTTTCAGTCAAGAAATCTACCTTATTATCATCCCAAACAATACATATGTTATATTATACATAGACTGATTGGAATTAATAGGAAGACTACTGCTAAGCTTTCTTCAGTCTTATGAAAAAATACTAAGCTAGTTCCTGTTCTGTAGGATACACAATACTTCCCCGTTAGAACCTGCACCCAGTTCTACTGGGAATCGATACGATCACTGCTAATACATCTTGATGCCAAGGACATGCAGTTCTTACCTACTTTCAAGAGCAACACTGCTTTTTCATAATGCAACACAGTCTATCCTGTTTATTAAGCCATATACAAGCATTGAACAAAAGAGACATAAGTTTTAACTCCTTCCCTAGATATCCTGTATTACCCCTGAAAACAAAGATTTTCCCATAACACCACACTTAGTCATTTTTGCCCGTTTCTTGACTCTACCTACACAAGACAAAGGGAATACTCTGTTATACACATATACACACACACATATATTATTCTATTTAGCCTTTTAATATAGGCCTTTATAGTGAGCAAAAACTCTTACCCAAATATAACTGCGTTCCACTGCATTATGTTATTCTCAGACGGAGCACCACTGACACCCACAGGAGGGTCTTCCTGCAATCTAAGAATTACAAATATAGAATGACAAGCCTTATATAAACGAAATACTGACTCCTACAAGTAAAATTTAAGAGTAATATACAGAGTTTGTAAATCTTCTCATTCCAAATTAGACAACTCGCATTAGTGCTATGTGCAGATCAGTAACATTGCAAAAGACAGAAACCTAGAAAATGCACATCAAGCTTTTCCCAAGTATTACACTGATGGCCCAATGGGTTGCATAAGTATGCAAGGAGCAAAGCATCAACTGTAAGAATAATTTAAAGCACCACATACACTGAGACTGA